TATATATATAACACCTTGAAAATCAATCCAACAAAGTTCTAACATAATATTAGTAACATCCATACAAACGTATACTAAATCGAAGAGGAAGTAGAAATATTTTATGTGACTTCGAAAAATCCCCTTCCAACTAAGTTTATCCAAAATGGTCTAGGATAAGATTCAGTTTGAAGATTCATTTAAGTGACAAGTTGGTATGACACAACATTAATATATTTACCCTCATCGATAAAATGTTTGCTAGTTGTATTTTTAAGTATAGCATGTTATTTTCTTAATCAGAAATTAATGCTAAAATGCACTATTATAAAGTTAATTATGACATAAATAATAAAGGTGATCGATTATAAATAGAAAAAACAAGAAATTCATAAATATCATCAAGAGAATGAGCAATGCTATAAGGCACCGGTGATCTTAAGCACCACCATTTAATAGAAGGCAAATCATTGTATTTTAAGTAAATTAGTTTAAAATTACAATGATGTAATTAAATAATAGTTGTGCAACAATTATTGTCCAATTACATACTTTTCTTTGTTAAACATCGTTAATATTATTGAGGATAATAAAAAGTACGTAATTGGACAACGAATTGTTTGTGTTACTATTATTTAATTACATCATTGAAATTAGGAACAAACTTATCTAAAGTCAAAAAATATAATGGATTAGATGACAATTTCCTGAGTGATATTTATGAATTTCTTTTTTTTTTTTGGGCTTATATTCAATGCTTTTGTTGTCCTTAATTATTATAGTTAACTATATGTTAGGGTATTATTACATTGTTTTTGAAAAAAAGAAAAGAAAAGACAATTTTTACTTCAAAAAAAGGAAAGCTTTTATGGATTTTTCTATCATGCTTACTTAAGGATTTATGTGTCTATATTCTTAAAATAGGGTTAACATTGCCAACAAATTAAGAATTTAAGGACCTGAGGATCTAAATTCTTAAAATGGGGACTTAGGTGTCAAAAATTACAAAATTTAGGGATCAATGGTGCCAAAATCCCAATTTAGAAAATAAAAATAAAAAAGAAGCTCTCGAATTGAAACCCTAATTTTGAGAAATCATAAACCCTAAATTAAATTAAGAGGAGCTCCTTTTTCCAACTCTTATGCCCGAAACCCTAAACCCTGCTCTCCTCGCATTAAGGCCCCGCCCAGTTGTTCTTCTCTGCAACCAAAAGATGACTCGCAAAACCCTAAATTCCGACCAGAAATCTCTTCTCCTTCACTCCGTCGCTCGTTTTCTCGACCGCAATGGCTTCTCCAAAACCCTCAAGAAGTTTCGCTCCGAATCCCAAATTCAGGTCCCCTTCTTCCCCATTTCTGTTTGGCTGCCGAGAAAGCCTAGGAATTTACAGATTCCGACTTCTTTTCCGACGTTTTTCCCAGTTGGATTTTGATTGATTTGAAACATATATATTTTTGCTTATATATTGATATTTGACGCAGATAGATGCTTTGAAGGAGTCGTTGGTGGATTTGGAAGAACTTTACATCAAGTATATCGAAATGTGGTAAACAAGATTATATTTTTATGAGTTTTGATGGCCTCTGTTTTGTGTTTAGGGAACAGTTGGAGACATTTTCATGACTTTTAGGTCCTTTTCTTTTCGTCATTTGGAAAACTACATTTTACTTTTTACGTTCTAAATTACAATCAGATACTTAATATGATGGCTCATTATTTCTGGCAATAAGATTTTAGTTTGAGATGTCTATTGTTCTAAAATTATTAAATTACTGAGAAAAGTATCCATTTTGGGTCAAATAATAAAATGAGATTTTGTATGCTAAGAGAATTTTTTTGGAGTTTACTTGTTTGTGCTACAGCAACTATGCTCTCTCTTATTATAATCGAGAGTTTGAACTTCAAAGAAAGATATGAAAGAGAAAGATAATAGGTGAAAAGAGGTGACATCTTTCCTGTAATGAAGAAAACAATAACAACAACAACAACAATAAGCCTTAATCCCAACTTAATTGGGGTTAGCTATATGAATTTCACTTTTCTACGCAGTTCTGTTCAAAATTAGACTTTCCTGAAGGTCTAGATTTAGAATGTCATTCCTAATTACTTCGGTCCACGTAATTATTGGTCTACCCCTAACAACAACAACAACAATAAGCCTTAATCCCAACTTAATTGGGGTTGGCTATATGAATTTCACTTTTCTACGCAGTTCTGTTCAAAATTAGACTTTCCTGAAGGTCTAGATTTAGAATGTCATTCCTAATTACTTCGGTCCATGTAATTATTGGTCTACCCCTTCCTCTCCTAGTATTAGGTATAAGAATGTCCTCCCAAGCACGAATTGGTGCTTCTAGCGGTCTACGTTGGACATGCTCGTACCACCTCAAGCGGTCTTCACGTGCCTTATCTTCTATTGGTGCTACACCTACTTTACTACGAATAACTTCATTCCTTATGCGATCCATTCTCGTCTGGTCACTCATCCATCTTAACATACGCATTTCTGTCACACTCATATATGTTGTCTCTTAATGGCCCAACATTCACTACCATATAACATAACTGGACAGATTACAGTCCTATAGAACTTTCCTTTCAACTTAATAGGCATCTTACCATCACATAAAACTCCCGTAGCATTCTTCCACTTAACCCACCACGCCTTAATCCTATGTTGAATATACTCTTTTATATCTTCTTCGTATTGCACTGTAGACCCAATGTACCTAAACTTCCTAGAAGCCCCAATCTCCACACCATCTAAAGAAATTTCATCACTTTGATTACTTGAGTTACTAAACCTACAATGCATGTATTCAGTTTTCGTCCTACTTAACTTAAATCGCTTCGTCTCGAGAGTGTCTCTACAGTTCTAATTTAAGGTTAACTCATTCCTTATGTTCATCAACTAAAACTATATTGTCCGCAAAAAGCATACACTAAGGAACTCTATCTTGGATTTCTCTTGTCAGAAATCCAAGATAGA